GTTGAGAAATTGAAAAAATTTCATTTAGAACATTCAATATTTTTTATTAATCATGCTTTCATTTTTTTTTTAAATTACAACTAAAATCCTATACCTACTACAACTAAAATCCTATAGCTACATCAAAGTAGCTACAACCAAAAATTTAAAGATGTAGCCGTAACCAATTAGACCCAATAGAAATATAAAAAATAGTTTTTGAAAAGGATAGAAACAAAGATTTGGAAAATCAGAATTTTCTAACATGTATTTTATAAAAAGAGAAATTTGAAGAAGTCCCACTTTTCAAAAATGCCACCTTTTCAAAATCTTTGCAAAAATACCATTTTTTAAAAATTATTTTTTCATTATTTCATTTATGTTTGGGTTAACTATGTTGTATTATGGTTTAGTTTTGAGGGTTTAAGGAGTTTTAGGGGTCAAAAAATTTTGGCTTACGAATGTCCATTTGCAAAAATGCCGCTAATTATGGATTGTTGCCTCAGCTCTGACGCCATTGTTGAGTTGTCGCTTTTTTTTTTGTCGCCAATTTGCAACGAATTAGTGAGAGCAACAACCGTAGAGCCAACAGCAACAATTTCTTTCGTTGCTCATTACCGATAATTTAGCAAAGGATTTTCCATAGCTAAAAGTGCGAATATTAAGAAATTAATTTTTTCTAAAATGTATCATCTTATATATATAATAAAAATAATTTAACCAATGAAAAAAGCGAGTGCAAAATATTATTGGTCACACAATAGTCAATAAAGTTAAAAAAATACTTAGGATTATCAAAAAAACTTATATTTTGAAACATAAAAAAACATCCAAAACAACTTATATTTTAAAACAGAAAGAGTATTAAAAAAAAAATAAACGTTAACAAAAAACAAAATTAACAAATTCAGTATTAAAAAGCGAGACATATTTTTAATATAATTACATTACAAAAATATAAATATATAATTACATTACTCTTAAAAACGAGTTTTAGCTCATTTGGAGCCACAATGGTGTTTCCGTGCATTGGATGAGTAATCCAAGTCACAATCTGACCGGGTCCACGTACTGCTCATAAGGCAGTAACAAACACTCGTGGAATGTCCAAAACTTAGTAGTAGTCATGATCGGGTGCGCATTGGTAAGTCCAGCCACACCCATGAATCCTAAAGCCTCATCAACTCTATTGGCCAATTCACGATATCTATTTAAGTCACAACAACAAGAATTAAGAAACCGCGTCTGCAATTACAATCACTACATCGAAACAAACACCCTAGTCATATACGGCATAATGGAGAACATTGGAAACTCAATTACACTACAAGAGCACATTTTGAGAACACAACAAGACACAAACAGAGAAAAGAAACAAACCTTAGTAGCAAGTTTCTTCCTTGGAGCTTTTCTTCCAGTGGAGTTACGAGCGGTTCGCTTGGTACGAGCCATCTATTGGATACACATCATAGAAAAATTAGATCTTTCAACAAAATTGGAGATTTGGTTGATGCGAGAGCCACTATAACAAAGAGTAATACGAGACTGTAATACAGAGCAAGTGCGACAGCTGCTGATATAGGTACTTGTACAGGCAACGAACACAAATAACACAGGGTTTTCTTTTCTCAAAAATATATTACTACATCAATCATCTAGTGTACTTACAAGTTACACTCAATCTCCTTAATCTAGCCTCTCACGTTCAAGAATCTATACCCAATCCATGAACCAACTACACATTAGTCTTGGAATAAGTCTTCTAACAAGAAACCCTTAATCCGCTTTACTAAGGCATAATGCTTACTAGAAGATATTTTGGACGCACTTACAAGTTTCACCTAAAACAACCTCTCTAGTCTTACTTGTTCATGAATTTATACACGATCCAAGAACTTCTCAAGACAAACCCTTAGCCCCATTGTTTTGTGTTTTTACAAGAACCCCCCAAAACCCTTACTAAAAAATTTCTCACATTATGGGGGTCAAAGCTCTACGAAGCTTAAACCCCCTATTTATACATAATAGGAAGACGGCTTAACTAAGCCTTCATCTCCAAGTTTTGATGATATCAAATCTTCAAGAATATTCCATCTTTCCTTATTCGCTGAGCTAGACAAGTGTTTTGGAGAGGATTGAGCAGCATTAAAGACTTTTCTTATACTTAGCCAAGAGATAAAAAAATTCTTCAATGCTGTTCAATTCTCTCCTAGGCACTTCTCTAGTTCAGCTCCACGTCTAGGCTCATCCTTGACACTAGAGTAACTTAGCCCAACCCATCTCTTCAAGCCAACGTAGTCTCAAGCTCAGTCTAGTATGCTTGTATTATTTTCTGTAGTACTTCGTAACTCGTACATGAAACTGTTTCAACAGCTATACCTTCATGTTTCAGCTGGTTTACCATTAGCTTCTCAGCTCCTTTAAAATAGCTCATACTAAATTCTAAAACTCATCCAACATGCACTTTAAGTCTCCTCCTTGTTGACTGAGTTTTAGAATTCAAGCACTTCTATGATGAATGTCAAACTCCCCCTTGATCATATACCAACATCAAGCTTCGTGTTCATCAATCTTCATATTAAATTAAAATCTACCAGGTACTGCTATAGGAAAGGAACATAATAACACATGGATTCTTTTATCAATAATATATTACTAGATCAAACGCTAAGTGCACTTACAAGTTTCACTAACCAACATTAATCTAGCCTCTCACGTTTACAAATCTATACGTGATTTGCAAACATCTCTCTACCTTTTGGTTTAGATCTCTTACAAGAAAACCCAAAACCCTTTTGTTAATAAATAAGCTCTAATTGTGTTAACCCGATCCCTAAGCTAACATCCTCCTATTTATACACAACAGGAAAATAGTCAGACCTAGTCTTGGTCCCTAAGTTCAGATTATACTAAATCTTCAACGCCATATCTTCTTTCCTTATTCTTTAGCGAGATATAAGGTAAATCTTCATGCTCCTTGTGCTCTTCAAGCTTCGTCTTGAGCTTAGCTAGAGCATCTTGTCACGTTTATACTGGCTTGAGCAGCTTGGTCCAGCCCATCTCTTCAAGCCCATGTAATTTTAGCCTGAGTCTAGTCTGCTTGCATCACTCCTTATCGTACTTCGCAACTAGTACATGAACTCCTTTAATAGCTACATCTTCAATCTTTCCATTTTTAGCTTTGTGTGTCTCACAAGCATCTGGAAAAAAAAGTTCATCCCAAAAACACGTAGACAGCACAAGCAAACAAGCACAAATAGGATTCCAAATACGACTTCAAAATACTGAATAATCTTGCAGAGTTATTAATTGCATAGTCTTAGCCAAAATTTTAAGAGTTTTGGAGTTCAAAAACCAAAAAAAAAAAAACAAGGTTCAAAACAAACTACAACTCATAACTCCCCCTTAATCCTATTTCTCATGAACCGAATCAAACAAAGGCAACACAAAAATCCCTAAGTCAAAACTCAAAATAGATTCTGTAACGTCCGTGAACCAAAAATTGAGAATTTTGGAAGGTGGAATTGAACCGGTTGGTTCGATTTTAATTGTCGGTTTGGCGTTTTGATTAACGAAGACCTAGGGCTTCCGTATAAAAGCCGAGCAGCATAGAGAGGCTGCGTTTTTCAGAGAGAAAAGGAGAGAAAACAATTTTGAGGAAGAGATCCTTGTGTGTTCTTCTTGCTTAAGTTTTGGAGGCAGTTCTGTCCGGTTTTATAAGAGGAGAGTAATGGCCTGTAAAAACAGATCGGATCGGATCGGAGTAAAACTCGCAGGTTAAGTTCTCCACTCTGTGTTCTTGATATAGAAGAAAATGGTTTGTCAATCGGATGTCTATTCTAAAGAGTTATGATTGTTTTACTGAGAGAAGTTTCTGTAGTTTCGGGTCTACAATCAGTCTACTTCGAGAGAGAATTCCTGTCGAACCAGAAGGATTCAGAAGACGATCCGCATACCGTTAGTTAGATCTCTGTGTCTAGTTTTCAGATCAGGTTTTTGACTCTGATTCTAAGGTAATCTCTGTTCTCCGTGTACTTTCGAAATCAACGTGTCGTTCCTGTTTTCTGAAACCCTAATCGGTTTAGGTGGTTTTTGGAGAAAAGATCGAGGTTTTGTTGGTTTGTGAGGAAGGGAAGGTAGAGCAGAGGCTGTAGGTGAGA